AGGAAGACAGAATACAGTGGAATAGTATTTTTTTTTTTTTTTTTTCTTGCGTTATGCGGGCCTCTCACTGTTGTGGCCTCTCCCATTTGCGGAGCACAGGCTCCGGACGCGCAGGCCCAGCGGCCATGGCTCACGGGCCCAGCCGCTCCGCGGCACGTGGGATCCTCCCGAAACGGGGCACGAACCCGCGTCTCCTGCATCGGCAGGCGGACTCTCAAGCACTGCGCCACCAGGGAAGCCCTGGAATAGTATTTTGAAAGCATTGACAGAACAGACCAGTAAGCCCCAAATTCTATACCAAGAACTCTACCTTTTAAGAATGAAGGCAAAATAAAGACAGATATTTTTAGACAAACAGAAACAAAGTTTACCTTAAAGACACCCTCAGTAAAGGAATTTGTAAAGGACATACTTCTGGATGAAGGAAAAGAAGTGTTTTGAGATACAAGAAGAAATGGTGAAGAATGTGTACACTGTTGATGAAAGAAAAACACACAAGGCTTCCCTGGTGGCACAGTGGTTGAGAATTCTGCCTGCCACTGCAGGGGAAACGGGTTCGAGCGCTGGTCTGGGAAGACCCCACATGCCGCGGAGCCACAACTAGGCCCGTGAGCCACAACTACTGAGCCTGCGCGGCTGGAGCCTGTGCTCTGCAACAAGAGAGGCCGCGATAGTGAGAGGCCCGCACACCGCGATGAAGAGTGGCCCCCCCTTGCCGCAACTGGAGAAAGCCCTCGCACAGAAACGAAGACCCAACACAGCAAAAATAAATAAGTAAATTAATAAATTAAAAAAAAAGAAAAACACACAATCTAAAAGTTGTGAATGAAGTTTTATTTGTGGACCTTATGAGTATATAGCCTGGGGAGCTGTCTCTCAGATAGTTACGGGGAACTGCTTTAAAGAGGTAAGGGAGGAGCCAGGATATACATAGGAGTTTTTGCTGAAAACACACACACACACACACACACACACACACACACACACACACACGTCATCAAACATCAAAATATTACTGCTAATCACAAAAAAACAGATATCTCAAGTCAGTGATTTTAGTGCTTTTCTCTATGTGGGAAGATGCAAGAGTCTGGGCTCACTGAAATCATTCCTTAGACATGCATCTTAACTATCTAGGGCTGGTATCCAAAGCACAGAATGCTTCCTGTTTTTCTGCATCCTGAATTCTCCTCAGGGTGCACTATTGGGTGGGGGAGGGCAGTTGTAGTGGTTGATGGCTTGATCCTTGTAGAACTGGAATGGCAGGCAACATTCTTTGTTTATTGGAGTGGCGGGCAACATTCACTTTCCACAAGACAAATCTAATTAGACACTGGCTATATTAAAAAAAAAAATGACAATGTATAATTATAAGGTGGACAGAACAAAAACAATGGATTACAATAAATTAGGAGAGGGATTTGATAGGGGTTAAACCAGTCTAAGATCCTTGTATTATTCAGGAGAAGAGTAAAGATGTCAATTCTCTTCAGACTTTAAAAATTTCAATATTCATGGGAACATTTCACCCCAGCTGAGGGCAGATTTTTGAGTGAAGATGGAGAATTAAACACATGCATCTGCCTCTACTCTCCCAAAGAAAACCTCACTAAAATCACAGTAAATAGACTTTAAAAGGCCTCCAGGTATAAGGACAAAGAAGACAGAAGTATCAAATGTTTGGAAACTGAAAAGCAGATGGATGAAAGTTTACTGACTGAATGCACTCAAGACAGTTGAATTCTAGATGGTCCAAATGAAGCTTCAAATAGTTTCAAAACTGAGCAGGACCCCATGGGGCCCTCCAGGGTACAAATCCTTTCTGTGTCCCCATTTCTTGTTTGTAGTAAATAGGTTTCAATCAGCCTCTTTGACCTTCCCTGAAGTCCAAAGGGCAGGTTCAAACAGTTGCTAATCAGAAAAGTGAGGGAATGCAGAAACAAAGGAAGAGCAATCAAGAAACAATAGCACAGCAATAAAGCAGGGTCCTGGTTCCTCCTCAAGGAATATACATAACAATATCTTTGAGTTCTTCTGCAGGAACTAAGGCCCCCCATCCAGGCGGAGGAAGGTAACTCCAGGCTGAGCACAAGAGTCCTGGAGTACCAAACTGTAACCTCACCACTAACCAATCAGAAGAAAGTCTGCATACAGTGGAAGATAACAAAGACTCTGACACCTTCCCCAAATGATTAACTGCAATCAACTCCCCCTTTTTCCCTTTAAAACTTTTCATGGCTGAGCAGAGTCTTTGGAGTTTGTTCTTGAATAACTCCACCTGGGGGTCCACCTTCTCCCCAGGTTGCTGGCCTCCTGAATAAAGCAACCTTTCCTTTCCAACCAACACTTGTCTTGGAGTGCTTGGTCCCTAAGAAAGGGCAATTTATTTAATGGTTGCGTGCTATTTGTTACTTTGGTTTGAGGATACCAAACAATCCATAATTTGTACATTCCAGAATTAATGAGATTATCTCATTACAGATTCCAGGAGACATGATTTCCAAGCTGACAACAACAAAGACTATTTAAGGTGTCATTAAGAAGTTTCAGACTACTGCATAATTTCAGCTGCTGTTTATATGAAATAAGGTACTCATAAGCCAAAGTCTAAAGATTCTTTGACTTCAATTCAAATAACTTTTTTCCCCAGTTTTAATGTAATTTCTAAAAGAAAAATAGTTCACTAAATAAGATAAACTGCTCCTTTCAAAGTTACTTAAATCTTAGAGATGATACATTTGAAAAATCTGTGTTCAGTAATCTAAAGAAGTAGAAAAACATTAATTTTGTGAAATTTACCTTTACTTGCTAAAAAGCTATATTAAGATGTAATGATTTGTGAGTTATTGTACAGATATTTACATACACTTTATTAATATATGAATTAAATATATTCAGTTCAACAAATACTAGAGAACCTACTATGGGCTGTGCTCCCAAGAGTAAAAAAGATGAATAATGTGCCTTTTGGCCTTCTAGGAATATTCAGAGTAAGAGAAGTGATTGATAGGTATGAAAATGCCTACCACAGAAGGAGGCAAAATGTAAGGAGTGTAAAACAAAGTACCAGAAGGAAAAGGATTAAGATGAAAATCCTTTTGGGTAATTGCTAAAGATTTCCTCTAGATGACCCCTGAGATGACCCCTGAGGGTGGGTTTGCCTTCTACTGAAGGAGACACTCAAGATAGCAACCTGATAACAAAATGTGTGCTGCTTGGAAGTGATTAATACTAGAAGAGTCCTCATAAACAGTCTGAAATAGATAGGAACTTTAATACTTAATCTCTTCTAATCTCATAAAATATAAATGTGGTATGTAAAATTTCAAGTTCCAAATATTTTATACCTTCAATTACATCCAGTAGAATTCCTGTCTCCTCAACTAATAGGAAGTCCCTAACAGTTACTCTGGACTCTCCTTAGATCAGCCAGGAGCCCGCTGGAGACAAGTTAAATCAGGATCGCTGGAGTAGGGGTTCAGGTATTTGTATTTTACAAAAGTTCTCCAGATAATTTTAATGGGCAGCCCGGGTTGCAAATCACCTGCCTAAATTGCAGTTGGGCAATTTTGGTCTTCCCGATAACTGGTTTACTTTCTTTGCTAGTTCAATAAACAACAAGAATTTTCCAATATTATTTTTTATTAGCTTCCACTTTACTGACCACTTACTATGTGCCAGGCACGGTGCCAAGCATACTTTTGTGCATTGCCTCTAATTTTCATAGCTACCCTTGGAGTAGGTGCTGTTTCTAAGTTACTTGCCCAGTTACTACCCCATTCCGGAGCCCAAGAATTTACCCACTGCACAATACTGCTTCTCTCCTCACTAAGTGACTCCTCATAAGGAACTGTTGTGAACACCAAAGTCTCTCAGCAGATATAAATAAACGTTATCTGGAAAGACCAACGAAGAAGTAATGGAGGGCACCAGAAGGCAGAAGCGACATTGCAGGGCTGACCGGGAGATTCTGCGAGATTCAAGATCTCTAATCCCCTGGTCTCTCAGCTACCGCCCGCGCCCGCCCCCCGCCCCTTTAACCGTCCGTACTAAGACCCGCTTTTCAACCTCACTGGTCCTTGTTGGCCAATTTCAGAGCTGGAATAACTTAAACACAAGGGAGGAAGCCGAGTCCGGGTATTTCCCAAATTAGCTTAGTCATTACTGGAGATGGGGAAAAGCCTTCTCTAGCCTTCTTTTACATCAGCCTGAAAGGACTCTACGAGATGGGAGCAAATGCCAGGGGTGCCCACTTGGCTTCCTCTAGGGCCTTAGGTGGAAGAGCCGCAGCAGCAAACATCCAGAGATAGGAGGCGTGGCTGGAGGCTCCCACCCCTACTACCCTGAGGGGAGGGGAGGGTAAGTGCAGGCGGGGCTGACTGCTTTAGTTGCCTTTCAGGGTCCGGGGGCAGGTGGTCGAGTTTTGTCCCGTGCCTTGCCTTTAAGCCAGGGTGCGATAGCAGTTTCAGTCGTTTGGGGAGAGGGGCTGGCCCGACCCACGTGCACAAACCCAATTTAACTGAAGGCATTGAGGGGGGAATCCGAGTTCAGGCTTGGGGCGAGTGGCTGCCGGCGCACGTCAACGCTCGAGCTCCGCTGGCAGGAGTTCCTTACTCGCGTGGGTCCCAGGGCAGCCCGCCGGGGGCTCCCGGTTGCCATAGCAACCCCACGCGCCTGGCAAGGACGGCGCGCGCCGCGGGGCTTCTCTACTACCGGAAGTGACGTGTTCCACCTGCCGAGCGAGGGCGGGGTGGGACCGGGCTGCGAGGTGCCGCCGCAGCCAGCGGGTCGGGAACGCGCGGGGAGCCGGGTGACTGAGACGCCGGTTGAGAGCCGCCTACCTGCAGTCGTCGCCCACAGCTGGGCCGCCACCATGGCGCTTCTGCTGCGCTTCGTGCTCCTGTGCGGAGTCGCGGGTGAGTGGGGGACAGATCGGTCCCTCGGGTCTTTATTGCCTGGCTAACCCTGGGGAGCTCGCTGCCTGCGGCCACCCGGGAACAATGAGGCTTGGGGGAGGGGGCGGGCGCGATTTGGGGGCGCTGCGGCAGTGGTGGCGGTGCGCGCGGAATTGCACCGGGGTGATTTTGCCGGACCGGTCGCGCGAGCCCCGAAGGTGGGTGGGGCCGCTGGGAGGGGAGCCCTGCGGGGCCGTGGGGTACCGGGGGGGCGTTGGAGTGGGGGACCGAGCCCCGGGATGTGGGGCGGCGGTGGAGAGGGCTCCCCGGGCGCCGGTGGGTGGGCGCGGCGTGCCGGCTGCGCCTGGCGTCTCTCCCAGACTATTCTTTGCCGCGGGTGCGGGCTTTGCTTTATTTGCTCTTGCCCTTTCCCTTGTTAGCCGCGGTGTCGTTTCCATCGGGGTTACCCGGTTTCAAAAGCCTTGGGCGGCGAGTTTTCAGGTGTCGAGCAGTCCAAGCCAGGAGACCGAATTACAAACGCCATGATTAAATGGACACTGAGCTTTTCAGTGCCTCAGATCGTCCAAGCTACCTCTAGGAAAGGCGCTGAACGAACTGTAGGCTGGGCATTCTTGGTCTCATGGAAGAGGCGAGCCTAGGCACAAGCTGTTAACTAGACGGTAACTCGACGAAGTGGACCGTGGAAAATCAGAAGTAGATTCCTGCAAAAATGCAGTATTGATTTCAGAAGTCGCGGGGCAAAGTGCAAAGGAGAAATTAGTAACCTTGGTTTTGAGTTTATAATGTTTTGATTCATTTTGATGATAAGATGACTTGTACAGGGAATTTCGAAAGGATTCGCCAAGTAATACATGTTCGACTGCGCTTTTCTCGGGAAGGGGAAAAGGGCATTTAAAACTGCGTGGACATAAGGCATAATCGTTCGATATCTTTAAAAAACTAATTTGTTGCCATGTCCGTGCTTTAACCAACTGATATTGTTTTGTCAAAGTAAGCATCTTAGAACCAAAGGATTCATTAAACCAACCACAACAAAAAAATCCATCGGTGGGACCCTAGGAGGCACACTTTGTGTAGCCTCCGGAAGGATAATTTTTTTAAGCGCTCTAAAGCTGGATCGAGTGGCCCTTTCTGTTGGGATGGCTCTCTGCTTCCTGTTGAAATGTTAATTCCATTGTTGGATGCCCCAGCTGTGAGCATTACTCATGGGATCAACATTCTGTTAACAAGTCTAATCTTCGATATGAGTCTATAGCATTACCTCCACCTTTTTAATACATATAATTTAGACATGGCTGAAATTTCCAAAGTAAAGCTTCCAGAAAAGCTAAGAGTCAGTAACCATTTTACATGATACGTTACACCTTGTTTTGGTCAAGGACTAAACTGAAGTAGAAGTTGAGAACATTGTGATCTCTGTGGAAAAAAATGTTTTAGCCTCTATATCTAGAGCAGAGAAGTGGAAGAACATAAACCATATAGAGGATTCCCCCCCCCCGCCCCCACCTAGGGATATAAGGATAGTTGTCTGGATTTCATTTTTTTCTGGATGCCTCACTTTGGTAGGCACAATCTCATCCTAGGATGTTTTGATACATATAGAGTCATTCTGCTCATAAACTGTACACTGTGGTACAGTGAACGTCTCTTTAAAGGACTGTTGGCTTCAACTAGACTATTTTACTTCAATTTTCCAGCTTAGGAAACAACTCAAAAACTGTAACTGACGTAAGGCTTTGGGTATTTCTTCAGATACTTCTTGACATCTTAGAAATTTATTGCCATGAACTCAGTTTGAGTGGTAACATGATTGGATTCTACAATTGGCAAAACAAGGTAGAGGCTTACATATTAAAAATTGCAGTGCTATTAGTAGATCTTCCTCTAGAGCTGTCTCCGTGTGGGTTGTAGAGTTTTGTGCTGTACTCTGGTTGCTGATGGAACACATTTTGATGCGTTTTTATCGCCTACGTAGTAGCAAGTTGTACCGCTAGTTATAGTAGTGTCAGTAGTGGTAGAGCAGTAGCAGTAGTAGTAAAAATAAAACCTTGATTACGCAGCTGTTTTTTAAAAAATAAATTTATTTATTTATTGGCTGCATTGGGTCCTCGTTGCTGCGCGCAGGCTTTCTCTAGTTGTGGCGAGCAGGGGCTACTCTTCGTTGCGGTGGCTTCTCTTGTTGCGGGGCACGGGCTCTAGGCACGCGGGCTCAGTTGTTGTGGCACACGGGCCCTAGAGTGCAGGCTCAGTAGTTGTGGCACACGGGCTTAGCTGCTCCACGGCATATGGGATCTTCCTGGACCAAGGCTCGCACCTGTGTCCCCTGCATTGGCAGGCGGATTCTTAACCACTGCGCCAACAGGGATGTCCCTGATTACTCAGTTATTAAATGCCAGGCACTGTTCTAAGGGCTTTACATACACTCATTTAATGTACCTTGCAGCCCTAGAGGATATATATGTATTATAATGATCCCTGCTGTACAAGTGGAGAGACTGAGGCATGAAGTGGTTGTATAACTTTACTCGCCAAGGTCATAAATTTCCTTCTGAATCCCTGCTCTTATCACTATGCTGCCAGTTTCCTCTTTGATTACCTCTAATCTACATCTTAAATTTGTATCACTGGTTACTGTCATTTATTAAGAACCTTCTGTTGGTTTGACCGTGTGCCAAATACTGAAGGCTTTTATTATTAGCCTTTTAATTTCTTGATCTTAGTTGAATATTTTCAGTCTCTCTGCGAGCACGAGGATCCAGGGCTTAGACTGGTGTTGTAAGCTTAAATGGCCCATGACCCAGCAGCACCATTGTCACCTAGGGATGTCTGACAGTGTTAAAGTTTGGGGTGCTGCTGTGCTTTTCACAGTGTCAATATGAGTGAAAGCAAAGTACTGGCCAGTGATTCTGGTCTCCAAACCACTTGTTAGCCATGCAGTGGCAGCAGGACCCTGTTCTCTGTGCTTCAGTTGCTGCTTGTGTCAAGAATGGGAATCCCACTATATCAGTTGATATAGTGGGAAATGTTTATTGTTTTGCTTTACCTGGTGTTTTTTCCGTTACTTGAAAAAATGAAGATTATTAGATGTGAACTTTATCCCCTCCACATGCCTCTCTCTTAATACATTCCTGTCATTATACCACCACCAGGGCAAAAGTTGCCCTTCTCCAAGGCCAGCCACCCAACATTGGCTCATTACCCTATCTTTTGTGGGGGTTTCCATAAAATTACCCAATATACTTCATTGCATTAGGTCAGAGGGCAGGGGCATTACCTGTGCTGCTGTTCATTGTTACAGTCCCGCTGTTAGCTTGTGGCTCCTGGCAGATAGCAAGTGGTCAGCAAATGTTGCACGGCTGCACGTTTTCAGCCTTTTTGCCAATAGGCCTATGTATATGATATGGCTCTCATCAGTTATATCTCTTTCCCTTCTCATCCAACAAAGATGGTCCTCCACTAGTGATCATTCCACTAGCCTTACTTCATTCCACTGTTAGAAGTTAAGCCTCTGCTTTATCTCTGACCTCATTATTCTGTCTCACCCACCTGCTTCAGTTGCCAAAGGTATCGATAACCACGTGCCAAATCCATTTATTTCTTTAGAGCTCCTTGACACCTATTAACCTGCCCTTCACTACCTTCTTCAATAGGTCCCTTAAATGCCAGCCTCCCCCATGGTTTAACCCATAGCCCTCTTCTCAGTCTCCATCTTAAACCTGGGTGACTTCATCTGTCCATCACTGTACACTATTTCCAGCTGCCTAACATTCAGCATCCCACCTGAATGCACTTGAGTACCTCAGACTCTGTAGGTCCTCAACTGAACTTACCACTAATTAACTGATTAAATGATCCAGTCATTCAAATATCTATGGCCTACTGTATACTATGGCTGTGCTAGATGCCCCTACAATAGTGCAGGCGTTTGCAAGGTGCAAAAGGTTTGGTGGAACGTTCCCAGCAGATGGAGATCTGAAAGGGTATAATGTTGGGGTTCAGTGCGTATAAGGCATCTAACTAACACTTCTCTTTTTGATGTGCACCTGAGTCATTATGAGGACGTGTGGGGTGGAGCTTGAGAGTTTACATTTTAACAGGTTCCACATGATGTCACTGCTGAGTACACTTTGAGTGGACAGAGACCCAGAGACTGTGCCGAGAGCTTAGGAGATGATCCCCCAAGAGTGGCACTGAGAAGCTTGTGGAGGTGTTAAAGAAGTGAGGTTATACACTGAGATTTATTCTCTTGAATGGTGTAGAACTCTGCAGCAGTTCTGGAGGCAGGTAGGACCAGTAGATCTAACGCATTAATCCATGTGGGATGACCTGGACACAAGCAGTCCCTGTTGAAATACAGCAGAGTGGTGCTGGGCTTCCTGTTTCATCTGAAAATTGTTCTGAGGGAGATGCAGAGGAACCTGGTATCTGGTTGATTGAATGAGTGCCAAGAAAAAGTTGGAGGGAGCCAGTAAGATTTCTGGCTTGAGTGAATGATCATGTCACTAATCTATAGGGAATAAAGAAAGGAGAAGCAAGTTTTAGGGAGATGACAGTGAGCTTTGGACAAGTTGTATTTGTGGTGCCTGAAGGGAATGGAGGTGAAAGATACCCAGTAGGAAGACTTAAGCAAAGGACTGGATCTCAGGAGAGAGGCAAAGATGGGTGATACAGAATTGAGAATCACTGCTGATAGGTAGCATCTGTGTCTGGTTAACCAGGAAAAGCAGGTAGGACTAGAAAAGAAGGTGAAATGTGATGCTGGGGAACATCAACATCTAATAAGTAGTCAGGAGGTGAGGAACCGGGGACAGTAAGGAGTGATGGAGAGTGCAGGGGAACTAGAGGATGAGGGTGTCCCAGAAACTGATGAAGAAATGAGGCCAGTGGGTCTTACATTAGGAGATTATTGAGAACATTTGGGAAGTGATCGAATCTAGAGGGAGGACAGTACCTGTACTGAGAGTAAAGCTAGATTTTAAGAGATTGAGGAGAGGGCATCAGGTAAGTAGAGAATAAGAGATTACTTTGCACTTGCAGTTGGTTTAGTGCATGTTGCATGTATGGCCTTCATTCCAGGGGACAGGAGCAGACTCCATGGGAGAAGGTAGAAGCCAGAAGATAAGAACTCTAACTTGTGTGTGTGTGTGTGTGTGTGTGTGTGTGTGTGTGTTTATTGAAGTTTAGTTGATTAACAATGTTTCAGGTGTACAGCAAAGTGATTCAGTGTGTGTGTGTATATATATTTATACACACACACACTTTCAGATTCTTTTCCATTATAGGTTATTAAAAGGTACTGAATATAGTTCCCCATGCTATACAGTAGTCTTCATTGTTTATCTAGAACTCTTAACTTCCCAACCACCCAGACATAGAACCTTGCTCACATGGTCATTCTTCTTTAAAACAGTGTATTCCTCTTTACACTCATTCCGGGACCCTGAACGCTTTGGCTTCCCATCCTCAACCCTTATATCCCTCTTTCAGCACTGCCTGTCTCTCCTTTTCTCCACTGGATTTCTTTGAAGGAGTGGATTTGTTGAGTCCATTATTTTCCTTCATATCCATCAGTTCTTCCACCCTTTGCAATCTGATTTTCACCCCACTCTACTCCTGTGAAACTGCAGTGGCCGCTGTGGCTGCATCCAGTGGACATGTCACACCTTCAACCTCTTAAACCTCTTAGCGAGAATGGCTCTATTGACTAATCTCTTTCCTCCTTGAGCTGTTCCTCATTCTCCTTTGTGGACCCACTTTCCTCCCTGTACTTAAATGTCAGTTTCTGGCTTCAGTTACCATTTATGTCCTTACAGCCTCCAGTCTGTTTCCTGTCTCACTCTCCCAAAGCTTTGCCCGTAATGTCAAACCACTCACTTGACAGCTCTGCTTAGACTTCCCACAGGTACCACCAGTTGAACCTGTCTCCAAACCACTGTTCTCTCTCACATTAAATGGCATTTTCAGCCACCAAAATGCCCAGGCAAAAAATCTGGATACCTTACTTGACTTTTCATATTCTCTCCCCAGCTTACACCCAGTTTCTAAGTCACTTGTATCCCTCCAGCCACTCCTGGAGGGATACAGCATACCTCAGTGTATACCACCATCTCTTAAGATGGTTGAAGTAACTTCATAATTGCTTTTTCATTGAGTGAGGAAATAAATGGGGAAAGATGTACTAGGCAGGAATTTCTGTTTGTTGGCTTGAGAAAAGACCTGGAAGGGAA